TTTTTTTTTTTTTTTTTATTTTAATTATGTTATTAAGAACTTACTAGTTAACTGTGTTTTATGTCACTGCCTTGTTACTTTCTAAAATTACTCTCTTAATTAATTAATTGTAACCGAGTGAAGCAAGCCCAGTGAGATTTTGAGAATTTAGGACAATGAGAAATTTTTGGTGTAAAACTACACTGTTCACCTTCAAAATCTTATTTAATTGAACATTAACAAACTTTTTCTTTCTAAGAAAAAGTTCTAATTACAAATATATTAACTTAGATTGAATTGAACATTTACGAACTTTTTATTTCTAATTACAAATATATTCACTTTTACAATTTATGTTCGTTTGTGATTTAATTCAGTGATTTCCAAATCTCAGTTTTTGGTTTTATGACTTGATTTATGTTGATTACCAAATCTTTCTGGGTTAATGACTCGATTTATGTTGATTTATAGTTTATTCTTTTATTAATTTCCAAATTTATTGTTTTTTTAAGTTATGACTCGTTTATGAATAGTTTGTGTATGATTTTATCCAATTCCATATTTAAAAATATTTCAAAAATATACTTGGGCCGAATATTTTCCATTTGCGCTCAAGAGCTGGGCCATGTTTAGATTAGCATGAGGCCCAGTGTAATCCCCCATGCATGTGCAGTGCACGTGAAACTGTATGGTGCACGACTTTCTTAAACTCACTACAAGCTCCCGTGACACAAACTACGATTTGGAACCACAATCCATAATCCAGTTGGCTCTATCTATCCTACAACACTATCCTATCCTATCTTATCATACCACTCCCTTTAACAAAAAGCCAAACACATTATATAGATCCACCTTCACAAAAAAAATGAAAGAAACACTGAAGAAGCATTAATTGGAACAGATCTCCACACTACACCAGCAGCAGACAATTAAAACCCACCGACACCAAAAACAATTCAAACAGGGAGTGGAATTAATCAATTATCGACAAATAGAATTAAAAACGTCAATTTGTATAAATAACCAGTTTTTGTCCCGTGTATTTGCACGGAAAACTATATGATACATGAAAAAATAATAAAAATTATAAACAATAGTAAAAATCATAACAAATTCATTGAAAAAAATTAAGAAAAAAAATATAAATATTTTTAAACACTTCTTTATAAAACAACGTCGTGGTTTTTCTATCGTCAAAATCTCCCTCAGCTCAAATCAAAATCTTCAAACTCCACTGACTCGTAACTCTAAAAAGCGCTACGTATAATTGCTCATGACTAAATGCAGAGCTCTTCAGTAGTAAGCCGACGTGCGACAGAGACTGCCTTTGACTCTTATTGATCATGTCATAGCATAGGAAACACTTCTTTATATTGTTTGTCCTCGACTCTTATTGATTGATAGAGATTGTCCTTGCTTCTTAATAAAAAAAATACCATCTAAATATAAATGAGTAAATATAATATTAATTTTTTATATAAACAAAAAATTTAAAGTAATTGATAATGAGTATAGAATTA